CATGAAACATATATATATATATATATATATATATATATATATATATATATATATATATAATATTCTTGTGAAATTAGTTAATTTGAACAAGATCATGAAATGGGTCAACCTTAACTATAGTCTATATATAATCATATGATTTAAATCCCAAGCAAATGTTATAGATGTTACAATTTCGGCTCTATTGATGTGAAATGAACATAGCTTTAGTTCGAACAAAATAGTCTAAACACATAATGTAATATCATGTAATTGAACTCTAAGAGACATGCCCTTTCACTTGCTCTCTTTCCAAGTCGATTAAAGTAACAAAAATTAAAATTTCAAGTTAAAACATCTTTGTTAATGGCAGGTAGCTACGATGCTTGAACGAAATTATTGTACCACCAGTTATATAATCTAGTAAAAGTTAATTAGAAAATATCACAAAAATCGTTTATTATAATATAATGCCATTGTGAGGGGAAAAAAGGAAATAGATTACTACCGTTTATTAAATTATTATATCATCAGTAATATAATTTTTTAAAATATGTTAAACCCGTGATTATATTAAAGTAGGCCCAATTAGAAATGAATACGGGCCTTTATTATTTCGAAAACCCTAATGTCAGAGCCCATGAACAAAAACCCTAGCGACCAACATCACCTGTATATTTATATATCCGCCATTGAAGCTCTTCTCGACCTTAGGCAAAGAGAGAGAGCAGAAGCAGGAGAATCAGCTCGCGGGAACTGAATCGCAATGGTGTCTGGTTCGGGAATATGCGCGAAGCGCGTGGTCGTCGACGCGCGTCACCACATGTTGGGGCGTCTGGCTTCGATCATCGCCAAGGAATTGCTCAACGGGCAGAAAGTGGTGGTCGTCCGATGCGAGGAGATCTGTCTGTCGGGAGGTCTGGTCAGACAGAAGATGAAGTACATGAGGTTCCTCAGGAAGCGCATGAACACCAAGCCGTCGCACGGCCCGATTCACTTCCGTGCTCCGTCTAAGATCTTCTGGCGAACCGTTCGCGGGTCAGTACCCTAATTTCATCATCTGGCATTGTGTTTCCTTATTGAAAATGGTGAATTCGGAACATAGGGTCATTGGTTGCACTCGTTGAACGAGAAAAAAATTCAGTTTCAGATTCATAGCCACTTAGATTATCCAAAATCTGTTCTCTTTTGCAATAGATTTGTTCATCCTATAGAATTATGTACGGCTAATCAGTGGACGAGTGATTAGAGCGAGAAGTGTACATTTAGGTAATCAAATGTATGATCCTCGGATTTGGGAGAAATCTGTCATATACATTGGGCATTTCTGGGTATAACTTAGATAGCCGATTCATACATTAGCTTTGGTAGAATGAAATTATTGTCCTGCACAATAACAGTATAGGTGATTTTTTGGTTGTACAATGTGATACTTCAGTTCATAGAGGGCATGAGAAAGTTCAAAGCTTTTGAAGCTCTCCTCCAATGGCTACCTCTTTGTTTAACGAACATAACAATCTCTGTCGGTCTATGGTGAAGGATGATTCCGCACAAAACAAAGCGTGGAGCGGCAGCTCTTGCTCGTCTGAAGGTGTTTGAGGGAGTCCCTCCTCCTTACGACAAGGTTAAGAGGATGGTGATCCCTGATGCTCTCAAGTAAGATATTGATCGTTTTGCCATTTCTGTGTAAATGATTGCCAAAAAGGGTTTTGTTACTAACCGAATGGTTTGGTTTTTGTTTGAATTAGGGTTCTAAGACTTCAGAAGGGGCATAAGTACTGCTTGTTGGGCCGTCTATCTTCTGAGGTTGGATGGAACCACTACGATACCATCAAGGTCCTTTTCCTCTTCTGAACTCTTCTTCAGGATTGTCTCACTTCATATGCATGTTGTTTCACATGTCAGATGCATGATGTTGTTTCACATCTCAGATGCATATGCATCACATCGTTATCGCAAGAAATCGTTTCTTATTGGGTTACTAGGTTTTCTGAAACCTGTTATCGGTATGAGGCAAGAAGTGTATGAAAAACCAAGTTAGCACGATAGATTAAGCTTGGTTTCAACTAGAACTCAATGTTCTTCCATAGATTAAACCTGTTATCAGCATGTATCTTTGCCAAACCCTAATGGTGTTCATTCATCATTGATGTTTTCTCGAATTCCAGGAGCTCGAGAAGAAGAGAAAGGAGAGGTCTCAGGCCTTGTACGAGCGGAAGAAACAGCTCAACAAGCTCAGGGCCAAGGCTGAGAAGGTCGCGGAGGAGAAACTCGGTCCCCAACTCAACGTTCTTGCACCGGTTAGGTACTGAGAAACAAACCGATTTCCATCACTTTTTGTCGCTGATTCTTTGAGAGGAGGCCCCCTTTTTATTGTTGTACCTGTGGAATTTGTTCGTGGTTTTGAATCTGATTATTGCAGACGACGAAAGAGAAAAAGGTCTTGCCTTTAAAACGCCATTTTTACATTCCAATGGATATTAAACCCTAAATTCTTCACATATGATCTTTGATTTTCAAATCAGATAAAAATGATTCTCCTTATATTGTTCTTAAAAGTTTGTAACTTTAAGCTGTGTACAAATAGAGTTCTGTTCTCTCTCTCTCTCTCTCTCTATAGTTGTAGAGCAATTGGCGTTTTCTAGAAAGAAATGAAAAGAGATTTAAGTTGGTTCAACCAATTTTAGATATGGACCACAGATTTAGGTCACAGTTTACATAATTTAATTGTTTTAAATGGAAAGTAAATTTACAAAATTTGGATACTTTCTGGGTTAAAATTAAATGAATCCCAATTAAATTAAAGGGAATATGCATATAAAAAATAACAGTTAAATACACAAATTTTAAAATTCTTTTTAAAAAATATCTAAACTATTTCTTGATTTGTATATTAAACCCTAAAATTTTTAAATTAACATAAAGTTAAGCCCTAAATTTTTAAAAGATTTTCAAAAAAATACAATTAAATTAAATCTTTAAATCTTGTATTTTAATGTAAAAATTAAAAATATTTACTTGAAAATTTTAAAATTCGTGAAGATAATGTATTAGTAATATACTATATTTTCGACATTAAATGCTAATAAGAAAAGAATATATGGCACATTGGAAGGCAAAAGAATATGCGTGTTCGAGGTGCTTCACCTTCGCCATTCAAACAAAGCCACACGGAACCCAAACCCACCATTGTTTCCCTCTCCTCTTCTTCTCTGTCTTCTTCCCCATCTCTCTCTTCTGTTCCTGAATCTCTGGAACAATGTCTTTAATGGCGGTTTCTGCAAATGGGCATTCCTTAAACCTTTCTATACCTACGCCTTCTGTCTTCCATCGGAGACCCTCGAGACTTTCCAATTGCTTCAATGCGCGAGGAACTGTTTTGTACGGTAAAGAAGAGAGCTTACTCGTGTCACGTCTCTTCAAGCCTTGTTCTTACAGGTTAGTTACCCTTTTGTCCGAACATGAAATTAGATAACTCCAGGATGAAACCTTTTGGTGATTCTAGTTCGACACAAGGATTAGATATGGGAGCTGGAAGCTGTATTTTCTGATAGTTCCTGTTTTGTGATTGTAGTTTGGTTTAGAAACATAGAGGCAGAAATGGCGATTTTAGTGTTCAAAGGGGAATGAAAGATTGAAACTTTCCAAGAAACGGATGTGTAGATAAGGGAAATTGGTTTAGTTGCTGTGCTTTGGGAGCAATCCAATGTCCTGTTAGAATTGTCTCTGGTAAGAAGGGAGATGGCTGTACTGAATCTGCAACAAGTTCTTTTGATGAAAAACACTTCAAATTTTTAGAGGCTGTGATTGGTTTTCTTGAACTTCCTTCGTGTAGAAATCGAAAAGAGAGAGACTAGAAACAACACCAATGGATATCAAAACGGATGGTCGAATTGGTGTATGAGTAGTAAAAACTAGCATTCTTGTATTGTCACATGAACAGAACAAGAAGCTTTCGGCGAGAAAATGCTGGAAAAAGCGAAGCTGCTGAGCCTCGGGACACTGAAGATGAGAAAACAAAGGTTGCTGAGATTCTGAGAAGCCAAAAGATGGGAGCTTCTGAGAAGGGTGTTTCGTTTCTGACAAAGTTAGGTATCGTGTTAGGGTTAGCCGCAGCCATTACAATAGTATGTGTAAGCTTGAAAGGCCCTGGTCTCGGTTCACCAATTGAAATCCAAAGTTTGGCCAAAGGTTCTTCCTCTTCAGCATTAGCCTCCTCGTCCTCCTCCACCGGGTTTACATTCCAGGCTTTTGGATACAGATTCATACTTCCGGAATATGCACCAGGGTGATGAGATTCTTTCAGCATTTGCGTTTCTCTCTTGTCGTGTTTTTTGGGAGCATCATCATCTAAAGATGCAATCTTTTTGTTTTTGGGCAGATGGGTTTACTTTTGGTTGCTAATGGCAGCTGGCTGTGGGCTTTTCATCAGTGAAGAGGCTCTAAATATATGGGTCTGTGCTTTGTGCCGGTACTTGTGTTTCGCTTACTCGATGATTCTGCTCATACTTTCAGTTCTGATGTACCGGTTTTTTCCACCGAGTAGTCATCTGATAGTGGTTTGATCAAACGAAAAATACAATGCAGGTTGGAATAACACTGGCTCGGCTGTTAACTCTGGACGGAACATGGCAATCATTCGCTGAATCTTTCTCCAGAAACGCTCCTTACATAGTCTCTACTGTGTTGTGGGTTTACTGGTAAAGCCTTAATCTCGGTTAATTCTATGGTTAACGCCATAAGTACCGTGATTCTTAAGATGCATCGTCTTTATTTTCATGACGTGGGAACGTGAAAAAACCGAAAAGGGGAGTTTGTATAAGCGATATGATACCGTTTTACCTGGGAAAGCTTTTCAGACAAAGTGGAGCACCAGAGGATGTTTGTTCAAAGGTTCTTCCTGTTCATCTAATCCATTCTTCTTATTTACTACAGAGTCTGATTACTCCTCGAATAACCGATCTTTTTTAACCTCTTGTTACCGTTGTTTGATACAGTTGGGAGTCGGAAACGAGAAGGCATTGAGTATTACTCAAGCTGTCCAGAAGTATGGCAACCTTTCGGGTTTCGGTAAAAATCTCCTATACAACAATCTCATTGAGTTAGGAAGTTCTTGGATTACATCTGCATAATGCTGGATCAATATTTTCGCCGTTGATCATCCTGCATTCACTTAATAACTCTCAAGATCAAAACCCACATGTAAATCTCCGTGAAATCTTATGGAATGAATGATTATATGACGATCGAACAAATGCAGTGGAACGGTTTTCGCTCGGGGTAAGGAATCCTACAGCTTTCCTTGCCGGGGCTCTGGTAAATCACTGACATTTCTATATCTCTGAATCAAGAACACGTAAAACATGTTTCACATGTTTTTTTGTCTAAACATCAACTCGGTTTTCCACGAATCCTCAGGGAATATCTCCGGAATGCTTCTTTGCTGGAGTTTGCTGCGGCGGATTGATCACTCTTCCTGTTCAGGTTCATATGTTCTCTCCCTCCTTCCACGCATAAAAACCGACGATCCCTTCAAATGGGTGATAACCCGAGTTCCTTTTAACGTTATTTCTTTCTCGAAAACTCAGCTCGGGCTCGGGTTTCTCCTCAGAGAACGCCCGGTTTTCGCTCTTGCAACGGTTGCAACAGCAGTGGTAAGAACCAAAGAGACAAGGGAACTGAGTTGAGAATGAACTAAGTTGTCTTTAAAGTTAAACACTTTTGGTTTTTGTCCGTAGGGAATATGGACCATCTTTCCGTACGCAATGGCTGCTTCCGCGGCGGGTTTTCTCTTCCTCCGCCGACATGCCCTTTCACTTGCTCTCTTTCCAAGTCGATTAAAGTAACAAAAATTAAAATTTCAAGTTAAAACATCTTTGTTAATGGCAGGTAGCTACGATGCTTGATTGGTGAAAAATATGTTTGCAAAGTTTTTTTAATTTAATAGCAAAAAAAATATTTATTTTTGTGGGATTGAAGGTTGTTTTTTTTTAATTCTCATGATCTTGATTTTTGTGAATAAATTATCAATCCATTATTATAAATTTATAAATTGACAAACTCTTCCAAGTGTTCTGAAATTTCTTTATTTTTTTTATGCAATAGTGTAGCGATTAATTTTTAAGTTAGTTCGATTATATAAAATCGAATAACATGTAAAAAATCGATTTCCATATAAAAATTGAGTAGATATCCATTATTTTCAATTAAATCTCTGTCAAATTAATAAAAAAATATTTTTTAATATAAAGTTTTTTATCATTGAATCAAAGTTAAAATTTGGATATAATATATATTAAAAAAAATTGAATCTCCGTACAAAGGTCAGTCACATCGTCTTAAGTTTCAACAAGGAAACAAACGATCCGGTTTTTGTCGACAGAAATTAAATTGTGATATAGAAAATAATAAATGAATAATATGTAAATAAGTTTGGTCCACAGCTTGTGAATAATATGTAAATGAGGCCGTCCCCACCGATTATTATTATTATTATAATTATTATAATATTATTATTACATCATCCATGTTTTCAATTTCACATTTCGTAATCATTCATATCACAACCACCCTTGAATAATTATTTCTTTTACTTATTCGACCGTTGAAATTCAGCATTTTATTATAAATAAGCTTATTTTGAAAATTTAACGATTCTTTTTCTGGTAACCAACGCATTTCGGTGGATGGTCAAAAGAACCTGATTTGAAATTTCTAAAAAAAAAAGGCTTAGCCTAATTTGTAAAGAAACTAATATAAATTCATAATAAGCGTATAATATTGTTTACCATAAAATGAATTCTTTTTCTTACACATATGTATATATATATATATGATAAAATATTGAATAAAAAGAATATCAGTACGAATATAATCTTTTGATAACTATCTTTCTATCATCATTTTAGTTATTTTAGCTCTTTTGTGGGCCATATTTAATTGGATTAAAAAAACTTAAACATGATGAAAAAGAAAAAAAAACTTACAATGCCCTTGTTTCCGTACATATTATTAAAATTTTTTGGTCTTATTATTTGTAGTGTGTTTAATGCTACTTTTATAATTTATATATTGCGAAAGTAATTGCTGACTGTCCAAAGATTTATTATCATTTGACCCATATTCCATATTAATAAATGCCACCAATATAAAAATATTTCCATTTTTATAAATAAATGGCCAGAAACTTTCCTTATGACCCTTTTTGTCCATAAACATTTATGCTAATTTTGTCATCTAGATCCAATAATCGACCATGTAAATGTATATATATTTCAACCCAAAAAAACATGTAAATATATATATAATCCATTTTTGTTACTTTTGCATATGCAAAGTCATGATACATTCACGTGGTCTGCATCCGCTTTCGTTCCCTAAAGTTTCCACGTGGCACATGCCATTTCCGAAAACTCGAACAGTCGACAGATTCCACGTGGCCAACACCCATTAGGGGTGACGTGGCGAACATAAAATAAAAAAGGGAAATTAATTAAAAATTAAAAAGAAAAAGTGCGGGGGGGGGGGGTAAATCGTTACCTTAGCTTAACGCCTACCCGGGCCGCAACCACCGCAACA